GCTGCTGAATGCTACTGTTGCTAGATTTGTTGTAGTCCAGGAACCTTGTTAAGATCAGTCGTATGATTTTGCTTCTGCTGCGAGCCTTGTTAGTAAGTTTCAACCTGTCGTCAAAGCGATGACGCTCATTGCAACGATGAAAAGTGCCGACACTTTCAATATTGGTATTTCACTTTTTCTTACCCTTTACAGTTTCTGATTTCGTTGTTGTCAGGGCACTTCGGTCCAGTTTCTGCAAGCGAATCACCGCGTCAAACAACCGCCCTGCAACCCCGCTGTGCCCAGGATCGAAATCTCGAAAGTGAGGCAGGTTCGCGTCGGCTTTTTTGAATCTGTTTGTGTCCGGCTGGGGTCCGATTATGAAGACCCCTACATCGTAGAACCCTGAACCTGAATTTTCCTGAATGAGGACCTAGGGTTCAGGGTTGAGGGTGTCGGGGTTTGGGCTTGGGGGTCCAGGGTCCAGGGTTAACCCTGAACCCTAAACCCTTCCTAAACCCTAGACCTGAACCCAAAACCCGAAGGCCAACCACCCCAGCAACTCCAGGAGTTTATGTTTTTTTTGGCAGGTTTTGGGATTTTGCGGTTTATAGCAGGGGTTATAGGGCTTAGGGCTTTAGCCTCAGGGTTTGAGGTTTGGGATTTGGGGTTTAGGGTTTAGGGTAGTTCCAGATGGCAAACTACAAGACAATTATCTACCAGGTAGCTAGCCTGGGGGAGTGATCTTTGGGCTATAGGTGTCGTCATAGTCGGAAACCCTAAACCCTAAACACCTAAACCCTAAACCCTAAACCCCATAAACCCTAAAGGGGTTTAGAGTTTAGGCCACCCTGAGCCTCCATGAACGGAACGGCCAAGCGACTTGGAGCATCATGAGCTCCATCTCTGGGCCCTAAAATCCTAAAATCTAAACTAAAACCTAATACCTAAAACCCTAAACCCGACACCCTAAACCCGAAGCCCTAAACCCTAAACTCTAAGGGCTTTAGGAGGGACCCTTAATAGGGATCTTGTAGGTTATTGGTTTAATATGGAGACTACCTGGCTATATAAGGGGTATATAAGGACTTTGCAATGGTGATTTAAGGTAATGGGATTAAGGGTCCCTATTAGGGGTCCCTCCTGAAGCCCTTAGATAAACCCTAAACCCTAAACCCTAAACCCTAAACCCTAAAACCTAAGCTAAGCCCTAAGCCCTCATCTCCCTAGGCCCATAAACTCTGAGATCCCCAGTCGCCGAAAAGACCTGCCTTTAAGGATGCCTTATTATGGCTTCTATCTATTTATCTCTCTATCTATCTATCTATCTATCTATCCATCTATCTATCTATCTATCTATCTATCTATCTGTCTACCTATCTATCTGTCTATCTATCTATCTATCTATCTGTCTGTCTATCTATCTATCTGTCTGTCTGTCTATCGATCTATCTATCTGTCTACCTATCTCTCTATCTATCTATCTATCTATCTATCTATCTATCTATCTGTCTCTATCTCTCTCTCTCTCTATATATATATATATATATATATACACACATGTATCTATATATATATATATACATATATATATATATGTTTTTTTGAAAGGGTAGGTCTTTTGGGCCGGAGGCAAGTCTTACTCCCTAAGAAGCTGAACCCTCATCCCCGAGGGCCCCGTTTAGCGTTTCGGGTTTCGGGCTTCAGGGTTTAAGGTTTCGGGTTTCGGGTTTAGGGTTTTAGGGTTTCGGGTTTGGGGTTTAGGGTTTCGTTTAGGGTTTCGGGTTTCGGGTTTAAGGTTTAGGGTTTCAGGTTTAGGGTTTAGGGTTTAGGGTGTCGGGGGAGGTTTCCCAGATCTTGCTGGACAAGACCGTCGTCCGGAGCCCTTTGTTGCCTGCGGAGTCCTTAGGTCATAGGCTTCGGGGTCTAGGATTTGGGGCTCAGGGTTTAGGCTATTAGGGTTTCAGGGTTTAGGGTTTCGGGTTTTAGGGGTTTAGGGTTTGGGGCTCAGGGTTTAGGGTTTTATTTAGTGTTTCAGGGTTTCGGGGTTGGGGTTTAGGGT